GGGGGGGAGAGAGAAGGAATGTAACTCCTTGGCAATCACTGCAGGGGAGGGATGTCTTGGATAGCCCCTGGGGAAACCTGGATTGAGTGGCTGGGGGAGAAGTAGGGAGATTCTTGGGCAGATTTACCTGGAAATCAACTGGGCTAGTCCTTCATGTCCATCTGTCCCCATGTACCCCTCATCCTTCCATCCCCACACCCAGTCAATTAGTCTGTCCATCCATTCAACCCCTTGTACCCCCTCTATTCCTCCATCCTTATATATCCTGTTTGTCCAGCCATCTGCCCATCCACCCAACCCCATATGCCCACTCCATCCATCCTCTTATACTTTAAGTATCTATATGTCTGTCTACCTACCTACTTACCCACCCATTCCTCCCTCCCCATACCTCCCTCGCTCTCTCTCCATCCACCCTCATATACTCACTCACTCTCTATCCATCTATTCTCCTAGCCCCTCCCCCCCCTTTCACCTCCCAGACCAGGTAGCTCAGAGTTGCCCCCATCCATACAGGACCCCATCTCCTGCTGTCCCTTCCCCCTCCCTCCAGGGCAATCTACCCCCCTTCCCTCTCTCCCTTCTTGCTGGAGGGCTCAGGGGTGCTCCACCAGGGTCTCATGCCCCCCCACACCCCACAAGTCCATTGCCACAGTCTGTGCACCCCTGTAATACCCAATGCCCAGAGCATCACTGCTGTGTTATTTTTACTAAACCATTGAAACAGTCTGGCTCCATGCCCTTAATGGGGGCCTCCCCCCTGCAGACTCTGTCTCTATATAGGTCCTTCTCAACCCCACCCCTTTATACAAGCCCTACCCCCTCCCCCAAACACATGTGCACATGCCCTGAGCTGAACAGGCCATAAGTGTGTCAGCCTGGGAGGGATTTTTCCTTCCCCTTTCCCTTCACATCCCATTCATCAGATCCTCCCTGGGGTGAACTGGATCACAGAGGCACTAGATACAACTCTAAAAGTCTCCCTCCAGCTCCTGTCCCACCCTGCACAAGAAGGATGGACAGGGAGAATTCATACCCCTGGGAGCAACTGGCTCAGGCTCTCTGCAGGTTGCATTACTCTATGGGGAGCCCAGGGCAGAGAGCTGTGAGTTTATGGACCCCACATAACCCAGAGCAGACGTCTGCTGTGTTTTTGTAGGGTCGCCCCTGCTACCATGTGGCCTCAAGTACCCACAGGAAAGCTGTGGGTCAGGTCTCCTGTGAACATGCTGTGTGAGCTGTGGGGAGTTACACATGACCTACCAGAAAGGCCAGGATGCTTTGTGGGGTGCAGGGCAGTTTATTGAACTGACCATCTACAATCCCACCCCACCCCCAACCTCCAACCCCCCACCAGGGCACACAGAACCCCCCCCGCCAGACAGACCCCATCTCCATCACAATTCCTTCAGCTAGTGCACAGCTGGGGCCTCCAGGTTCTACTCCAGCTTGGGGAAGGGAGAGGGGTGTAGCAGGTGGGAAGGGGGCTAGGAGCCAGGATCCTTGGGTTGAACCACAGCTCAGGAAGGGGAGGAGAGTTTTAGTGGGTTAAAAGCTTGGGGAAGTGGGGCTCTCACATGTAGTTCCCCTGAGGCAGGCAGGCTGGCTGGGGAGAGACACTCCAGTTTCAGGGGCCTCAGTTTGGGCTGCTCCTGGCCAGGGGGGCCCAAGGCCTCATCTTTTGGGGGCTTCAGCAGAACCGGGCAGGCAGGTGGCAGGGTAGGGGCCACCTGGGGCTGGGCCTGCACAGGCAGGCGGGGTGCTGGTGGGGGCACCTCATACTCTGTGTCATAGTAGAACCAGTCATAGGAGTCCTTGGGGGCTTCCAGGTGTAGCGCTGAAGGTGGGAGGGGAGGAAGAACTCAGGTATCCAGCTCCCAGCACCCCCTGCTCTAACCCACCAGCCCCCACTCCCATCTCAGAGCTACATACAGGCCAGTATGGCTGGCTGTATGTACAGCCAGCCATACAGGCCTCTGCTCCAAGCCACCAACCCCCACTCCCCTCCAAGAGGTAGGAGTTAACCCAGGTGTCCAGCCTCCCAGCTCCCCCTCTTCTAACCCACCAGCCGGGAGGACCCAGGCATCCTGGTGCTTACCCAGGTCATCAAAGGTAGCATCCTGCAGGCGATGGTGGGTGAAGAGCTCCTTCCTTGCAGCTCGGCAGTAGGCACAGTAGACTCCAGCCAGGAGGCAGAGCAGGAGGCCACAGGCTCCCAGAAACAGGCCCATGGCCCGGGCCCCTGCCGTGCTCCAGGGCTCCCCTGGCCAGCCTGCCATAGAGATGGAGTCAGGAAGATCTCAGGTGCCCAGGCCCTCTTTACCTGCAGGACTCCTTGTGCCCCCACCAGCCAGGCGCCCTCTCTCCCACCCCCCATCCTCCCCTACATCTCCCCTCCGCCTCTCCCCCAGACACCTTAGGATCCCACAGGCCTTCTGCCCCTCCCCGACC